AAAAAAAAAAAAAAAAAAAAAAAAAAAAAAAAAAAAAAAAGAAAAAAGATGTGCACTATAATGCATTCTTTTTTAAGGTATAAATGAAGCAACATTTTAAAGAACTGTCACAGAGTATAAGCATAAACAATTGTCATATTAAAGGGATTCATAAGAGGGTTATTAGTCCATTTTCTTTTCATGAGATAACTTGATAGGCCAGAAGACTGAGGCAATTACCATGCAAAAGAAAAAATAATTGAGTGGCTAACTAAATTAAGTTGAGTTTGCTTGAATATTCATGTTCTTTATGCTCCATCCTCATAATGTCTCAAGCTCTAAAGATATGGAAGAAATGAAGCAGATGAATATTCTTAGCAGACAGGCTTTATTCTGTAAAATTAGCATGCTTCTGGATGGGAGATCCCTCTTCTTTTTCTCTTATTTTATTACCTAGACGGTATATACCACTAATCTTCATCACTGAAGGAGTAATTTGTGGAACAATGAAAAGGAAAACAGGAAGGAAAAAATGAATTCAGAAGCCTTTCTTCACAAGCAGACCATGGGAAGAAACATGAGCAAACGTGTATCGCAGCGTTCCTTTCGTGTCCTTCAGAAAGAGATAAGCAAAATATCTTTCTATCTGGTCCTAAACACACATGGGGACTCCTGAGCCACATGAAGGTCAGGCACCGGCGACTTTTTGCACAGAGTTTCCCATTTGGTGAACGTTGAGTAGAATAGGTTTTAAGCTGATTTGTCCCAGTGTATAAAAATTAGAAAAGATAGTCTTATTCATTAGATGCATTAGTATTATCAACATACAGTATGTCTGAATAAAAACTTAAAAAATAATTAATTAAAAAAGAAACAAAATAGGTCCTTTCTGAATTTCCAAATAGAACGTTAATTGGCTATAGCATACACACCAAACTTTGTCCTGGTAGTTGTCCTGGTAGTTGAGATGATTCACTAAAGTTGTAACTTAATTATGTTGAATAATACAAATTAGAAATTATTCAGAAAGAGCACACACTAGAAAAAAAAAGAGCTTCCTTCATGCATTAGACAGGATTCTCTGAAAGAACAGAAGCACTAGAATGGCCCACGCAGGAGGGACTGGCTGGCTAGTCCAGTAATGGCTATTTGCATGTTACAGAGGCTGAGAACATTATAGTTTCTCATTCCATGAGGCTGATTTCTCAGCAGTCAAAAAGTCTGTGCTAGGCTTGAACCAAGGCTAGCTGGATGGAGATATGTCCAGCCACCTTCGGGGAAGGGCTTACCTTAATGCCCTGAGGGAAAGAACTAGCCTTACTGCATTCTTTCCCCACCCAGTAGAGATACAGTTGCTAGGAAACCTGCCTATCCTCCTAGGAAGGGAAGCCAGACCATTAATGGTTTGGGGACCTTCCTATAGCCAATCAATTAAAAATGCAACATCCCTTTTGTGTCTCGACCATTAAATGCTTGCCAGGCAGGATTCCCCCCTGCTTTGGGACCAGGATCTTTAAATCACTCAACTAACCCTAGCACGAGGCTCTCAGTTCTCACAGCTTTGGCGGTGGGGGTGTGTGTAAGCCCAAGCTGCAGCTTGTAATAATTTGTAAAATATATCCGCATGTGTTTTGCAACGGAAAAAAAAAAAAAAAAGTCTGTGCTAAAGGCCCGTAAGGTTCCTGGAGAGTCACTTGCTTTCTGTCCATGTTGGGATTTCTAAGAAGCCATCAAAGAATGGTGGCAGCAGCAGCCACGGCAACAACAAAAATCACATTCATACCTGCGATTCTGGAAAGCAGGCAGATAACATTGTTTACCTCGGATTTCTTTACATCTGGACTATATGTTGAAAGATTATGTCCACTTTGAGGGAAAATCTCCCTTTAGCTAAGTCCCTTCTGGGTAGACATCTGCCTAAAAGTTTGTATCTTAGCTGATTCTAGATCCTATTTGAATTGACAGTTGAGATTAGTCACAATTTGGCTTTCTAGAACAGAGATAGTTTCATGTAACATTCTCTCTCTCTCTTTCTCTCTCTCAGACACGGTTTCTCTGTGTGTAGCCCTGGCTCTCCCGCAACTTGCTCTGTAGATAAGGCTGGCCTCGAACTCACAGATCTGCCTGCCTCTGCCTCCAGGAGTGAAGGGATTACAGGTGTGCCCTGGCACACTGAGCTTCATTAATATTCTCTAGTGGACAATAACTTATGCCATCAAGGCAAGTAATTGTGTGTTTCTGAATTTTATACTGGAAGTGGGGGAACAATGTTCTCTATTTCTGAACACGATACTCAGTTGCTTAGTTATTTTTATTTTAAGAATTTCCCTCTGTGTTCATTATTCTTAGCTATTTGAGAAAAAAGACAGGATACAGATTAACATTGTCTTAGTGCAACTGTTCTTCCTATAACCCTATGAAGAGCTGATTTGAACTCTTTGTTTCTCAAACTGTAGATAACTGGGTTGAATAGTGGAGTTAGGATAGTATAGGATACTGATATCAGAGCATCCTGGCTTGAGGAGTAGTTGGACTTGGGCCTTAGGTAGATGAAAGAGGCACATCCATAGTGAGCTATGACAACAATGAGGTGAGAAGCACAGGTGGAAAATGCTTTGTACCTGCCTAACGAGGAAGGAAACTGGAGGATGGCAGAAATGATGTGAATGTATGATACCAAGATCAACAATAGAGGGATAACCAGGACCAATGCACAAAGCAGGAAAATGATCATCTGACTGAAGTGGGAGAGGTGGGATGCCAACTTGAGAACAGGGGAGATGTCACAGAAAAAGTGATGGAGTTGATTGGAAGAGTGGAAGGGTAGGCGAAACACCAAGGATGTGATTATCTGCGCCACAGTGAAGCCACAGACACAGGCAGCAGCTACTAGCCCAGCACATACCCTGTGTCCCATGAGCACTGTGTAGCGCAGAGGGTGGCAAATGGCCACGTAGCGATCATAACCCATGGCTGCCAGTAGGAAGGAGTGGGAGCAACCGAGGAAGAGGAAGGTGAACATTTGGATGGCACAACCAAGGAAGGAGATGCTCTTCTTCCGAGACAGCAAGTCAAGCAGCATCTTAGGCACGATGACAAAGGTGTAGCAGGTCTCAGAACAGGAGAGGACGGAAAGGAAGAAGTACATGGGGGTGTGAAGGGCTCTGTCCAGCGCAATGGTGGAAACGATGACGGCGTTGGTGCTCAGAGTAAACAGATAGAGGAGCAGGAAGACAATGAAGAGCAGCAGCTGCAGCTCAGCCAGCGATGAGAAGCCAAGGAAGACAAACTCTTTGACCACAGTGTCGTTTACACACTCCATGGAGGATATGTCCTGGATAGGGAGGGGACGAAAGGCGTCCTTACACACTTAGCAGAAGCATGGGAGGCTGACAGCTGTGCTGCCGACGCTTCCAGGTTTTCCTTCCAAACTGGCCATTTCTCCTGTTTTTCCAAGAAAGGAAAATTCAAAATCAAGGTGTTATCAAACGTTGTCTCCACAGCAGTTCTGGTAACACAGCCCGGTAGTTCTTAAGTTTCTGACTGAGCTGCACTTTTCTGTTCAGTCCACGACAAGGCTGGAGTCAGGACCCTGGGCACGGCGGCGCTTGTCCATTTGGCTTACTTGCATCCCCGCTCAAGAAAATCCTTCTATAGCTACAAAACAAGCTCCTGAAACTTGTCTATAGTTTAATGCTTGCCTGCTTTTCTTTCTCTGTACATCTAACCTCCTGATCTTACTTTTTTTCATAGCATATACCTATCTGTTCTCTATTGTGTTTGCCTTGTTGTTTTATAGAAGGAGCCATAAGTTCTACCTTCTTACACTGTTCTCATGGTGACCATTTCTTCTGTATTTTTATTCTGCTCCAAAGACAAATTCTGACACATGTTTTCCTTCTTCTCTGTATTTATCCATTCCAAGATAGAATATTTTATTTATACTTCGGTACTTTTCTGAGAGTCTTTTCTCCCTCAGAGAGAATGACAGTCTTTCTAGAGGATTCTGGCCAATGTTTGCCACTGCCATCCACTCCCTCTCAGTCACTCTGTGGCGGTTTTATCTGCATATCTCCACCACATTGTCCCTTTGATGGCAGATTAATCTTCTGACGTATAAAACGTATTTTAACATGACTCCCTTCACAAAAATTTTATTTCTGGCTGCTGTCTAGTTCAAACTCTCTACACATTTCAAAGGGTTTCATTTGAGAAACCCCAAACTGCTGACCATGCTGTTCTAAAGATGAGTATACCACATGACAGGAAAAAGGAACATTTTGCTTTCTTGTCTCTGCTTTTTGTAGGTGCTTTGCAGTTATTTATAGTTGCTTTGTATTTAGGCTTCACTCAAATCACACATTCGGGAAGAGCTTTTAGTAGCTCCTGATAAACGGGATTGTTTCTTTCTCAGAACTCACATAAGGCATTGAATGAAATACTTGCTATGACATTCCCTTAATTTTGAATTGAATTTGTATTGAATTGTTCTCATAGCTTTCCTCACTACATTTTGTACCCTTGAGGGAAAGATGTGAATTTGATAATTATTGAGCTCAATTTTTTGAGTATCTAGGACCACATAAAGCACTTAATAGCTTCTCAGGAAATCATTATTAACGATTCTCAGGAAATGATTACTGACAGGTCTCAGGAAATGATTACTAACGATTCTGCAAGGGTAGGCTATTGTGCTGTCACTGGCCTCAGCTCTGGATGGGCTCTTAGGAGAGTCCAGAGTCATAGCATCCTCAGGGATATTTCTTCTTGGGTATGAGGATTGCTGAGCACCAGTAAACTTAAAAGATTTCTGTGCCACATGCAGACCTTAAAGACAAATCTTGTCTTAAAAATTAGAAAAAGAATGGAAGAGAATCTGGGTTTACAGTTATGTTGTCTAGAGTTACTCTGAAGCTTGAGTGCATTTGCTGCTCTCTAAACACAGGAATCTAAGGTTGTGAGAAAGGTAGAATAATCACGTCTTTGTATGCATCACAGTTGAAAACAATTAAAATCAGTACTCTAGTGTTAATAATAGAGAGTCTGGCAATGTAGCCTACCTTAGGAGCGACCTAAGGTAGAAACCATCAAGTAGTAACAAGAAATATTAAGCTGAGTGAGCACAGTAACTTTCAGACACTATATGAGCAGTAGTAATAAATACGCAAACAGGTCCCTCTCCAAGGCATCTATTGGCTCATGGCTCACAGGTAGAAGAGATTATTGTTAAATTCATGGTGATGGAAACATGGATACACGTTTGAAGCAGTTGTGTATATTCTTGGAAAACAATGTTTTAAGTTTATCTTTGATTCTTTTATCTGTTATATTTTGGGCATTTCGGGCACAGCATTTATGAGCCTGGACATTATTTAGTATCTATAATTTTAATCCAAACAGACAAATAGTTCCAGTGAATACAATGTCTGTTCCTTGCTTTTGGAGGAGAGTTGTCTTATTGCTAGTGTGTTTTGTTTTTATAATTGTTCTTAGCCCTCCTTAAGCCTGTGAACGGAACAGATAGCCTCTCCTTTCCCTTCTTACTCTTCTGGTTACTTGCCCAAAGCCTCACTTACAACATTTTACTGACTAGTAGTTTGGTAAATCCAGTCTTAAATTTAGCTCCATTTAAAAATCCTTGGCCTGCTAGTGAATTTCTGCATACCCTCATGCAAGGTTAGATAACACAGGAATAAGATATGCTTGGAGCCTTGACAGATTTAGGTTTTACTTCTAACTCTGACTTGATGTAAATTTTAGAACTCTAATATTTTTGCTGTTCTGGTAAAATGAGAAATTCCTTCTCCTGCTTCTCAAGGCCAGTGAGGGTTAATAGAGATTCTATCTATCTATCTATCTATCTATCTATCTATCTATCTATCTATCTATCTATCATCTTTTTACCTATATCTAGTTCAATAAACAGAGAAGGGCCTACATTTAAAATAAATATATGTAGGTGAGTGCTGGGAGCACACAGTGCTGTGGAGAGGCCCAGGCAGGAGGATCACTGCAAGTTCAAAGCCAGCCGGAGCACTGTAGTTAGGCCCTGTCTCCCATGAGGTCATTCTAGCTCTGCACTGTGAAAAGGCAGGTGTAGAAAACACATGCAGGTTTTCTGCAGCAAAGGAGACAGTAAAGGAAGTTTCCAATTTTTCTATTTGGAGGAGAGCAAGATGGAGATAAATATTGAAGATAAACTTATAGATGATCTTGAACATATGTGCATATCAAGTTAGAGGTTTCTCATTTCAGAATGGTTTATAATTATTAAGCACATATTTTGTGAATTGTCTGCCTTCATTTTATGTATTTACTTCAATAGTATATGAAGACTATTATAGTACTATAATTATTATAAGATTATGTTATAATAAGATTATTATTATATTCTGAAGACTGGAGCAATTTGTCTAGTAACTATAATAGCTTATTATCATGATAGATCATGTTATATTATAATATAAATATTAAGAAAATTGACATTCCTTTCTCAGATAAGAGTGAACATAACTGTAAATATTGTAAGATAAGTATTATAGACATTTTAAGAGATATTTCAAGACAAAATTCCCTGAAATATCTTGAGAATACAACAAGTAGCTTCATAAAGGGCACTAAACATGTAGACATTTTGATTGAGCTCTGTAGCCATTTTCTTAATGTTAAATGGCCATTTGCAGTTAAAAAGTGCTTTAGTGTGTCTCTGTGTACACACATGGAGGCAGACCATTTGCTAAAGAGAAGTTGTTTGAGAGACGACAGACTATATTCTCTCCAATTTTTTTCTATTTCCTTACGAGATGCTTCATGTTGAGGTCATAAACTCACAGCAAGGGTCAACATACTATATTTTGGGAAATACTAACAGTATAATTTTCATCATAAAAATGAAGCTTTATGAAGTGGTGCACGTTAATTATCTGTATTAACGACCTTATAATGTGTGTATATTTCAAGCTATCATTTTTGTACATGAAAAATGCAATTTTAGCTTTCTGCTCACAAAATACGTAAGTAAAGGTAGGTGACATGGCAACTCCTATGATCACAACACTAGGAAAGCAGAGGCAGAATGATAGCTTTAAGTTCAAAGCCATGCAGAGCTATGTGGTGAGAGTGTGTCTCAACAAAGAAAGAAAGAAAATGTCACACAGACAAGTAAACAACATCAAAACCCCCAAATATGAGTTCAATCAAGTATCTGGCAGATATCACCCCAAGGCTATCAGCTGATCAATATTGTTTGGGATGTTTCCAGAAAAGAAAATATAAAACTCAATTTTACTATCATCTTCTTAACCAATATTTGCATCTGTCTTGTAGCAATGTAACAGGGTTAGTGTTTATTATGAATCTCACTTGAGAAATTTGAACATCATAGGTGCTGAGGACTCCATTTAGGTTTACTCACCTAATGGAACCTAATGGAACCAGGGTTAGACTAGGCTATATTTTGTGTGAGTAGCTCTTTTGTGGGAGAGGGAAAGCAAAGAGGACAGTATATCTGTTCATTCTCCCTTTAAAAAAAGATTTATTTACTTTAATTATATATGCATTGGAAAGTTTGGCCTGCATGTAAGTCTGTGTAAGGGTGTCAGATCCCTGGAACTGGAGGTATAGACGGTTGTGAGCTGCCACATGGGTGCTGGGAATCAAACCCCAGTCCTCTGGAAGAGCAACTAGTGCTCTTAACCACTGAAGCATTTTTCCAATACCTCACTCTCCTTCTTGATTGAAGAAAAGAGCATCTGAGAAACTTGCTTTGAGACACTGTCTCATCTATTCTACTTTGAAAGTTAATGCATTGTGGCCAGGGTCCAGACACATTTTAGCAGATGTCCTTTTCTATGAATAGCTTCATCATGAACAGTGAAAGGAGGCTGTCTTGTCTAGACAAAATTCCAGCACAGACAGGGGAGGTATTGGCAATTAATAGCTGCTAGGAGAGGGAGAGTCTGTTTTCTTTAAGAGTGTCCCGTAGTGGGTTGCCCACCCTCCAGTGAGGATCACACATCCAAGAGTATTTGGGAAGCATAAGTTGGACTTGACAGGTAAAAAAAAAAGGACACAGTTGAGTGAGTTGAGAAGAGAAGATAGATTTGGGGATAAATGGGGTAAAGTGATTGAATACAATCAATATGCATTGTATGAAACTCTCAAAGAACTGATAAAAACTGAGAAGGGGCAGTGGTGGGGTAGCTGGCATCTTTGAGAGTAATGTGCACATTGCTTTTTGCACTCCTAATGGTTTAAAAACAGCAGCAGTAGGACAAGCTTAGTGATTATTCCTCACAGCACTGGCTAATCCACATGACTTAC